GTTCATTTTGTTTAGTTCTTTTTTCGTAACAGATTTAATGTTTAGTATAGATTTTAGAAAAAAATCGCAGTGTGAGATAGGCAAGAAGTAAGGCATGTAGCACCATCAGCACGGAAAAGGGCACTCCTTTAAAGGCAAGGAAGGGCAAAATATTTTAAGTCAAGTGATAGCGATTGCTGTATGAGTCGTACGCCGGGCCATGCTACTAGTTCATGTATAAAGGCAGTTGTCACAGCATAGCGGCTATCAAGTATATATCGCACAACGATTTGCTAGTGCGAATTATCAAATGGAGATACCAAAATGAAGCAATTACAAAAAGGAAGGACGGAAAATAGGATCAGAAGAAACACTGGGATAACTTCAAAGACCTTTGTATGTTTGTCCTTAACTTGTGTTAAAAACGTTGAGATGTTGAAAGCTGTTCCGAATTTACACCCGATTTCTTTGGTCTTGGAATCCTGTAATAAATCAATTTTTCAACGCCAGTGGCAATCTTGTCTAAAGGTGACTTTTTTTTTGTCGAGCAAGAAAAGGATTATTTTAGGTTGAAATGCTGACTGATGTTGGTTTTCGTAACTTCCTGCGGAACCAGCTTTTCTTTTTCTTTTTTTTTTTTCTTTTTTTTTTTTTTTGTCCGTCTGAAATTCGACTAAGGTGCTAGCAAATGATGCACTGCATTTGATTGATTCGATTCTAATATTTCCAACATGCGCTGCATCTTCCGTCCATTTCCTCATTTGTCAAGTTCAAGAATTTTTCAGAACCTTGATCTGAAAATCCCCTCATTTTTCTTTTTTTTAATTCGCAAACCATTCCTAAAACATGCTTGCACCTCTTGCAACTTTGCCTCAAGGTAGTTAATTTACAGTGTAACACCCGCGCACAGTTCGCATTAAAAATTGCCAGAATACTTACATTTATGTGTAATTGCATATGCTCCATTCGAATCTGGCTTGATAAATTTGATAAAATCCACCGTTTTGAAGTTATCGACAGTGAAAGTTCGGATTTATTCGCGTCGTTGGCGGCAGCCATTATCGTCGTTGTTTGCATACATTCGCTGCGGAAAGCTAAACGCGGACGACTACAGAAAGCTAAGCTCGGAATTGATCTTTCTTGTCTAAATTTGTCTCAATTACTGCGCACGAGAACTATTTAAGTAGACACGCTCAGTTTGCGCAATGATACCTATTCTGATTAGAAGCGATCCTCTGCCGTTTGTTTTGGGTTTTCATTTGCACAGGACTTTCATTTCCTCACTGCAGTCTTAACTCTTTTGATGGCAATCTGGTCCTCTGTTGATGGAGATGTTTTTTTTTTTTTTTTTTTTTTTTTTTTGTGAGGCATACTGCTGCCGTATGCGACAAGCAACAATAAACTACGAAAGAACACAAAATTGGTCGCTTGAAGATTATGAGAATAAGCGAGACAGACAACGATTCACCCTTGAATTAAAGAGGTTAATATTGTAGGGTCCAGATAAATTACAGAGTATTTTTTGAGACGAGGGAATTATTTCAAGGATCCTTTTTTTTCCAAAGTAATAGCTGAGAAAGACGATATTGGGATATGAAATGTATGCCCTGGAAAAAAATAGGTAGAGCGAGGAGAGAACGGAAAGCAATAGGAGCAAATGGAGAAAAAGTAAACGATGGGAAACAGAAAAACAGCTATGAAGAGTGATAGACGGGGGTGATTGCTATTGGGGAGTGAACAAGAATGAATAGAAGATAAAAGACGAGGATTGGGAGTCTGTCGTGGGGAACAGAGGTGACCGTACCTGTTGACAATCGGTCAGCTGTCAGATGAAAGAAGTCACCACCCCTACTCCCCAGCGCATCTCTTGACACGAATATCGTTTCGTAAGCAAGTAATAGACGCATGTAAGTAACTCCCCGCTCATAAACCCTAACTGATGGCTGATCGTCCAACATATAAAACACACATAGGGTGTCTAACCTTACCACAACAATCGAATGCATTGTTTCTCAACGTTTTTAAGCAAAGGCATACCTACGGGCAAATGAAAATATTACGGCATACATAGTAAATTTTTTAAAGGGTATACATTTAAATGTTATGTAATAAAACCCTAAATTTAAAAAAAATACACACACACATATGAACTTATTTTATTTCAATGTTTCTATTTAAATATTTGAGCAGTTATTTAATGTGAAACCGGTGTTTGAGGCTTTTTTTTTCTTTCTTTTTTTTTGAGATTTCTTTAATGTTTGACCAAAAGTGCGATAAGCAGACTCATTTCTTCAGTTTAGCGTAGTCTTTCTTGATCTTATTTTTGATGTTATTTAGAGTTGCGAGGCCTAATTCACATGAATAAGAAGTATAAAATTGCAATGAAACTGATAAAGCCTCTTTAGCAAATATAGGATATTCCTTTTGTATTGAAATCCATATATATATATATATATATATATACTAGCAGTAGAGCCCGGCGTTGCCCGGGGATATAACAGTAAGAGATAGATCAAGTATCGACCATTATAAAGACTGAAAAATAAGATTGACAAAGATTATTGTTTAAGGTTGACGGACACGCTAAAGACATTAGTTCCATTTAATCCTCAAGCGAAATTTTGGACTCCAAAATTCGCTTGAGGATGAAATGGAACTAATGTCTTTAATTTAATCACAAAATTAAATTCGGGGCTTTTAGCTTCCATTTTTGAAACATGGTTAGAACTGTGTAGCGAAAAAACATATTTTAAATCAATTAATTTATAATATTAATGCTCTGTAAATTTACATTGAGCACTATTTTGTAAAAATAAAAATATCTATAAGAACACTGGATTATATATCTTGCTGTTCTTTCTTTTTATTTATATACATATATATATATATATATATATATATATTGTGTATTTGGGCAGCAATCCCTCTTTTATACAAGTTTCATTAAAGACGACTGACAAAGTACTGCTATTAAGCTTTTTATTTAATTTTTTATGTTTGTATAATTGTTTTCTTTTCTAGACATAAAGTGTGTAAAAAATTCTCCAAATGTCCTGCATATCCAAATTCTTTTGCCAATTCTTTTAGCCATTATCAAGGATGATTTTTATTTTCAATTTTAACTCAATGTATAGATTTTTTTATGTTAGTATCTAGAGTTACAGAAATGTTTTTCTAAACACCGTCAGCACATTGTGGCCGTGTTCATAGTTGATTTTATTGTGTGTTGCCTTTTTCTTTTTTATTCTTTTTTATGCGGATAATGTGTATTTACTACAATCATGTTGCAGATGGGGTTTGGTAGGTTTCCGTTTCTGTTTTAATGGTTCCTAATTGAGCTATAGTCAGAGAGGTGTAATGTGAGTCTTCTTGATAGGCATGTAGTGGTATGTCCAATATAATTATTCCTGAATTTAGTTTGAACAGGAACACAGTTCCTTAAGGAGCATGTGAATTCATAAATAATATTGGTTCTTTGTAATAATCTTGTAGGTGTGTTGTTAATGTTCATGATAAGGTTATCAGTTTTAAATTATTTATAGTAGATAATTTAATGTTCTTGTTCTGGTTGACTGAGGTTGTGTAATTTTTTATAATGTTTCTAAGAGAAAATTCATCTTGCTTATAGCTAACGCGTGTTTGGCTTTTATAGAAAATGTTAATGTTATTGTTTTTATCTGTATGTTCAGTATTGCTATTAGTTACTTTAAAAAGAAATAGTTTAATCTGGTGATCGATGAGGTAGATCGGAAGACCGTTGTTAATTTGCGTCTGTTTTACATTATTGAATTCTTTAAGGTAAAGTGGACAAGATGATTAATTCTCGTGGGCTCTCTTGAGAAATTTTTTATAAAGCCTATTTTTATATCTAACTGGGCATTCAATCATAAAATTAAGGTGAGAAGGGTTTGTATATCAAAGTAGTGAATGTGTTACTATTGAATTTTACAAGAACGTCTAAGAATGGGAGTTTATTTATTTGACTAAGTTCATAGGTATAGTTAAGGACTCAGTATTTTTCAAATGTGGTTTTGAGATTATCAATTTCTTTTTTCTTTTCAGCTTAAATAAAAACATTATCTACATAGCGGATATATTTTGGGTTTAGTAACTATTTTAAATATCTTGTTTTCTACTTGGGACATGTAGTAGTTAGAGAAGAATATGTAGATCTCCTATACTAACACCGTCAACTTGAGTGTAGATATTGCTATTATGGTCGTAAGAAAGGACTTTAGTTGTGCAGGCATACAATAATTTTTTGAGAATATTAGGTTTGATAGATGGAGGTGGAATTGAATTATTTTTATACACAGAGTTAAGGAATGATATCGAAGGTTTCATCGACAGGATCGTTTATAAATAAATTTTCTACGTCAAGTGACGCTAAGATGCTTTGGTTTGGTTATGTAGTTTGAGGGTCTGGAGAAATTCATGAGTTGATGCGATTCTATAATTGGTAGGTAGATATGGAGTAATGATATCGTTAAGGTCTGAACAGTGCCTTTAAGCAAAAACCTCCTCGTCATAGATTCCTCGAAATTACCAAATCTGCTCAGTTTACCTCTGGACACGAAACTCAGCAGATATGATAATTTCGAGGAATCTATGACGAGAAGGATTTCGCTTAAAGGTGCGGTTCAGACATTACGTGATTGGCCAATCTTCTCCTTGATCGAGTCAGTTAAGACACATCGGGTATATATATATATATATGTGTGTGTGTGTGTGTGTGTGTGTGTGTGTGTTTAAAAATATATAGAAAATAGGAAAGAACTCGTTAGGTAAATAATCCAAAGCTCTTTAGTATTTTTGTTATTATTTTTAAAAAATAGTGCTCGATACAAAAGTAAAACATAAATATAATTATTTATTTAAAAATAATTATTTATTTAAAAATATGATTCCAACGCATATATATATATATATATATATATATATATATATATATATATATATATGTATGTATGTATGTATGTGCAGGGGGGGTGAACAAACAAGTAAACAAACCAGGCATCCCAATGCCACCCATATCAGGGAAAACAGCGCACCCCGCTAAGAAAAAAAACAAAAACCGCTTCTTTCTTGTGTCTTTTCTTTTTCCTTTTTTCTTTTTTTCTTTTTTTTATTGTTTTTCTTTACTTTTTCTTTTCTTTTGTTTTTTCTTTTCTTTTTTTCGTTTTCTTGTCTTTTGTCTTTTCTTTTCTTTTTCCTTGTCTTTTTCTTTTCTTTTTTCTTTTCGCTTCCTTTTCTTTTTCCTTCTCGTTTTTCTTTTCTTTTCCTTGTCTTTTTCTTTTCTTTTTCCTTGTCGTTTTCTTTTCTTTTTTCTTGTCTATTTTCTTTTTTTCTTTTCTTTTATCGTGTCTTTTTCTTTTCTCTTTGCTTTTTCTTTTTTTTCTTTTCTTTTCTTTTTACTTGTCTTTTTCTTTTCTTTTTCTTTTCTTTTTCTTTTTCCTTTTCTTTCTTTCTTTTATCTTCTTTTTTTTCTTTTTGCGAAATACAATATTTGTCACACAGTCATTAACAAATTTTGAAGAACACCTTGTAAATTTACTATGTTAAAGTTACAAACAAACACAGTAACAAGTTATTTATTAGACACTGACTCAATTTTACCCACACCTTTATACATGTACCTTCCAAACAAAACAATCCAGCGGTCAGTAATTTTTTTGACATCCTTGGACACGGCGGAGAATTCAGTGAATTGAGTTGATACTGTACTCAACCGAGATTTCTTTTGTCCAGATCTCTTTTATAGCCTTTCTCAAATGCTTCGGTACCTGAAGGTTGTTCTGCAACATTGCTTTTGACAAATTCCCATAAATTTTCAATTGGCTTCAGATCTGTATTACTCTCGAGCCGGTCTAATGTAGTCACGTTGATCCAGTCCCAACATTATGAACGACTTTTGACCGTACAAATGATCTTCCTGATGTCGTCAGTCATCAACTTGATATCTATTTACTCCTGTCTTAATAATAAGTCTGATCGGTTCAATAAGGTCGAATTGCCAGCTGATCTAAAAAAAGACCTACAATCTGTTGTTAATTGGGGCAATGAATGGCTTGTTAATTTTAACGCCTCCAAATCGAAATTGCTGCCTTTTAATCGTCTGAAAGAACCCTTTCTGCCTTCCATCATAGTCTCCCTAGGTGCTTCGGTACTTGAAGGCAGTTCTTCTGCAACATCGCTTTTGACAAATTCCCATAAATTTTCAATTGGCTTCAGATCTGTATTCCTCCCTGGCCAGTCCAATGTAGTCACATTGATTCAGTCGCAATATTCTGAACGACTTTTGACTGGTGGCATGGAGCACCATCATGCTTAAATATTAGTGTACCGCTGAATGTGCATATGCAATTCCAGTTTCTCCTGCACTAGTACCACATATCTTGCACCATTCATCGTTGTTCCTGGGGGAAGGAAGTAGAGTTCAGCTGTTGCAGATTTGGGCATGGCGCCCCAAATCCCCTGGCTTGGTGGGAGCTTCATATTCTGAATTGTATACGTTTCATCAGATCTCTTACCAAGGGATCTTATATTATTTCTTTTACGTATAAATGATCTTCCTGATGTCATCAGTCGTCAACTCGATATCTATTTACTCCTGTCTTAATAGTAAATTTGATCAGTTCGATAAGATCGAATTGGTAGCAGATCTCGAAAACGACCCACAATCTGTTGTTAACTGGAGCAAGCAGAGGCTTGTTAATTTTAACGCCACAAAAACGAAACTGCTCTTTTCATCATCTGAGAGAACCCATTTTACATTCCATCAACAGGGCTGATGCTAAACTCCAATTGAGTAAATCATTGCGCTTTCTTGGACTAACATTTTCAGCTGACCTGAAGTGGAAAGAGTATATTGAATCAATTGCTAAGTCTTCAGCTAAGAAAATTGGTTCACTATGTTGTGCTAGACAATTTTTCTTGCCAAAATCTATCTTACATATTTATAAGTCTATCATTTGCCATGCATTGAATATTGCTGCTACATCTGGTTTAGTGCTCCAGCTATCTATTTAGAGATTCATGATAAAATCTAAAGAAGAATCTGCAATGTTATTAGTTGTGAGCTGGCATCTTGGTTTCACTCCCTTTCCCACTGCTGTAATGTAGTTTCCCTGTGCCTTTTCAGATCTCACTCTCCTGCAAAACAGCTAATGGACAAATCTTCCAAACATTATGCATCACAAACGGACATGCAACAGCCATAGAGATAAAAGCCATAATTTCTCTTGGGAACAACCAACATTTAAACCAAATGAGAGTGTATGTATAAAATTCAAAGAAACCTGGAAAAGAAAAGGAAAAATTAATTAAAAAACTAAACAAACCTCATTCATATCAAATCATCACTGAAGATCGTAAACAAATAAGACAAAGTGGAGGTCATCTACTTAAAACCAAAGAACAAATACACATCTCTACAGACACAGACTATGAAAATATATTTTCAAAGAAAGTAGAAAGATTATATTGAATCAATTGCTAAATCCACAGATAGGAAAGTTGGTTCACTAGATCGTGCTAGATAATTTTTCACGCCAGAATCGATCTTACATATCTATAAGTCTACCATTCGTCTATGCTTTGAATATTGTTGCAAAATCTGGTCGGAATCTCCTGCGATATATTTAGAGATTCTTGATAAAATCCAAAGGAGAATCTGCAGTGTTATTGGTCCAGATCTGACATCTTGCGTTCAGTCTCTTTCACACCGACGTAACATCTTTTCTAAAAAATATTTTCAAGTTAATTGTTCTTATAAACTTTCCCATTTGGTACCTAGACTTTTTTTTTTAAATTAAGCGCAGTATTAAATTAGGTGAAAAAAGTCTTCTCATTTTAAAGTTGAAATGCCTCGATGTAACCGCAAGTTCTATGCTAACAGTTTCTTCTATCGCATTTCTCGGCAATGTCAACTGATATCTTCTGTCTTTTTAATTCTTGTTCTTTTATTGTCCTCGCTACTTAATAACAGTTTTTTCTCATATTCTCTAATACTCAGTAACCCGTTGCATCCTAGTGGCTTTATTGCTTTGCTTGGGATGATATGATTAAAAAGTCAATATAACGAACTGTTGCCGAAGAGGTTCATCTGCAAACATACCTTTACTTCAGCTGTCCAGATTCCATGTTGCTTAGCAAATGCCAGACGCATGGATATAATAGCCTTGGTTTACAAGCAGGTTTGAATAATTTTAAACCAAACTCAAATCCCAGACAACGAGAAACTGTCACAGATCTGATATTTGTACCATTTTGAAGCAGATCAGCATGTATCGTCTGAAAAGATCTTGTTGGGGAGCGTCTAGCAATACGCTTCATCAAATTGGTTTTCTTTGGACGTCCACTTCCCGCTTGTCGCTAAATGTCCTTGAATTTTGGAAATTCATGATAGCAGTGTGCACAGCCGCTTGGTTAATTTACAGTATAAACACCAAAAGCTCACGGTAATGAAAATGTTCTATTATGGTGTGAAATTGCCTGATTATTTCGAAAATGACAATAAAACTTTGCGCTCGATGACCGTTTAGGATTTATCGACAATGTAAGTTCGATCTCTTTCGCATCGTCCGGCCGCCATTTCTGGCGCTTTTTACACACGTTTGCCTCAAGTAGTAATGCGCGGAAACTTACTTAGTTAACGGACTTTTACTGCTTTTTGTGTCTTCTTGATCGTCTTGATTACTGCGCAATTTTAGCGAAAGTTATTTTAAAATGCGCTTTCTTTTTAAAAAAAAAAATGACGTTTTAAATGAATATTTTTTTTAAATTATTATAAATTCAATTTTTCCAATTGTATTGTTTCTTTGTAGAAGTGAATCTTTATTAAATAATGAATTCTTTTTTTTATTATTAAATTGGTTTAAATTTGTTATAGGAACAATTGAAAGTTTTTCTAAATAAATATAATTTTTTCCAAAAAAAAAAATCGTTCAAAAAAAGGAAAACCTCGTTTTTTTTTAGCTTTCAGACACGTAATTTCTATTTTATTTTAATTGTCGGATTTTAAGGAAATTTTCGTGACACAATTTAAAAGAAAAACATCGTTGAAAAAACATGAAAAAAATTCATTTTTTTATCACTTCAGGGACGTAATTTTGATTTTATTTTTCGCTTTTTCATTTTTACTGTTGTATTTGGAATGGCGCATTCATTTTACACATCGCACACTGCGTAGTAATCACGGCAAGTGAAGCTTCCGCGCATGATTACTTGAGGTAAATGTATGCAAACAAAGCCAGAAACGACAGTTGTTCTGTCGACGCGACGCGAAAGAAATCGAACTTGCATTGTCCATAACTCCTAAACGGTAATAGAGCGCAGACTTTTAATGTCCTTTTCGAAATAATCAGGCAATTTCACACCATAATGGAACATTTTCACTACCGTGGGCTTTTGGTGCTTATACTGCAAATTAACCACCTACTTTTACACTAAATTCAGAATAGCCTCCATTGCATAAAATCACAATTCCATCCTTTCATATCGGAGAAAGTGAGGATTTTTACCCATATTTTAAGCCTAATTCACTACACAAATATTATTTAATTTGGCAATGTCAAAAACGTTTTGACCATAAATCCTGTGTGAATAATGTCTGATACAATACCAAAAAGCTATCCGATCATCCAGTATGGTATAACGTAATGCAAACAAACGAACGAAAATAACCTTGTTACAGCGAAGCAGTCTTAAACTTTTGTTAATGACCGTATATATACGAAGTCGCATGACTCTTAACGCAGTTCGCTTCTATCGTGGAAAGTTTCTAAATAATATTAGCTCCAGCACTAGGGGGGATATCCCCACCTGCAGGAAGTACCTGTCCTTTGGGAAGAAGCTAGGTTTATGGCCCGGTAGCTGAGGCATCCTTAAAAGGGGATGTATCAATGGAGGCTTGAGCAATTTTTCTACAGTGATGCCGTTAAACCCACTTTAAAGTGGCCTAGTGTTACACTCGGTTGCAACGTGGGCGCACTGAAAATACCCCCCACCCCTAACGCATACAAAGTTTAGCACGGTAGCATCGTATATCAGTTGGCGGGTGAAACGAGTTTGATACTTAGAGAATCCCCCCCCACTCTATGGTCTTTTGCCAGACTTAAGCTTACTAAGTATGAAATATAAGTGCCGGGGCTAGTTGCATACCTGCAGGTGCCAAGTTCAGCGCTCGAACCCTGGTAAAACGCAATGTTGTTTTTCAAGGCAGACTGGCTTTCTTCACTAAGAAGAGTGATGAACGACAGTCTTTCTCGCCTCTCGATCTTTAGACTGGTATCAATGCGTAGTATCTGTTCTCCTCGTTTTAGAAGACGTCTGGTCCCGGGGATTCCAAACATGCGGCAGCACCTCCCCCATTACACTAAGAGAGCGTGACAGTGGTTGCGAGGACTGAGCAGTTTTTGTTATGGGCTCATATGTACGCGTATGGGTATACCATAATAAAAATAATACGTTTTGTCAAAGGGTGGGCGGTGTCAGATAAATCTTCCTAATTTCACTCCTCGCATCGCCAGTTTGA